ATATATATATATATATATATATATTAAATCTCCTTCCTTTACTTACTAGTATTCCGTGATAAGTTTTAATACTTAAGTCCATTAGTTGTGGTAATACCATCACTTCTTTCACAATTTCTTAAATGGATTTTTCATTTGAGGCAAAAATATAATAATTATTAAATTGCTCACGTGATGCTTCAACTGCAGCCTTGACCTTCATAGAAAGCGATTAAAGATTGACTCGCGTGTCTCGTTTTTATATTTTTTTCAAACCGTGTCTGCTTGCGGAGTTTTGCAAAAAAACACAAGTGGAATACTTATTCAGTTATCTTAGTGTTAATCTAGAGGAAAATTATTGCACTTTTCGAAAATAGACAATCGTATAGGTATTTTCGTTCAATGGCATTAATATATTGATTAGAGGAGTGTTGAATTTGAACTGCTTTAATTCAAGAAATGATATTTTGCAGACACTTTGAAAATGCATCCTAACCGTATTTAGCCAGAACGCGATCCCTCTGGTTAATTTTTACTCAAAATATTTTTATTGATTGCACTCTTTTTCCCACTCCCAGGCTGAAGTGGTGAATGATTCTCCTTCACCATGTTGAAAATGTGAATAATTATTAAGTCGTTTGCAACATTATGATGTTTGGCGAAGGGAAGATCTAAGAAAAAGTTGTAATTAAAATTAGTGTTTTATGTAGCTTGAAGCAAAAAATGAAAAACGCACAATTAATTTATGCTATTCAGCATTTAAAATTGCGAGCAAAACAATGGGAAACTATGACTGACAAGTGTAAGAACGCCAGATGATAGATGGAAAATCATATTTTTTAAATTTCACTGTCAGACACTTTTCATTCATCTTGCAGAAGGGAGAGAATTATTGATTTGATCACAAACCATGAAGGTTTTCCAATTATCATTTAAAGCATTCACTTTATTGGTACGAAGCAAATGAACAAATCTTCTTTTCTATATTTTTTCACTACGATCTTCAATATTGCTATCGCAGAATCACCTATTAAATGTACGAAAGGAAGGGCGAATTGCTTTGAATGTTCAAAATTATTTGAAAGACTCGATGCAGAAAATCAAGTCGGAAATATATCATATGCGCTATAATTACCCCCCAAAATCAACTGTATTAATCTACATAATTATCAGTGCAATAAGAATCTCTTATAATAAATCTACTTCCAGAAGCTTCACTGTATTCGTTAATCACGGAAAGCTCGTTTTGGCTCACGCCTTCGTTCGACATCTTTGGAACCACGCAACTTCGCATTCTCTCTCATTGCGTCTCCCGCAGAAATTTGCGAGTGTGCCGCGGGCGGGCGGGCGTTCGTTCGGCGCATTCCGCCTTTACAGCCGCGCCGTAAAGGCCCCGCTCGCCCAGGGCGAAGGGGCGGCTGGGCGCGCTCTTCCTGGTGGTGACGGTGGGCGCTGCCGCCGCCGCCGCTGCCGGGTCGCGAACCGGGCGTCGGCCTGCGGAAGCGGTTCGCTCGGCCGTAGCCCCCGGAGGCCCGGTCCAGGATGCGCGCCAGCGGCAGATAACGACGGCTCCCTTCCGCATGAAAACTCTCTCGGTGCAAGCAATAGTGGGCATTGGCGGTCACCGACTGCAATAATGGGCGTTGGTCCATAATTGGCCTCACTGGCATTAGCGGTCTTTGGAATACACTAGCGGATACCCATTTTGGCTGCAATGGCGAGCATTGGCGTTGACTGGTTGCAATGGCGAGCATTGGCCACCTCTGGCTGCAATGGCGAGATTGGCCACCTCTGGCTGCAATGGACGAGCAATTGGGTCCACTCTGGCTGCAATGTGCGAGCATTGGCCAAAGGCCCCCCATCGTGGCCTGCAACCTGGCGAGATGGCACTCTGGCTGCAATGGCGAGCAGTTGAGCCTACGGGCTCTGGCTCTGGCTGCAATGGCGAGCATTGGCGCATACTGGCAGCTGAATTGGGTTCATAAGCGGCTAACGCTTTTCCGTCATCAGCACTGCAACGACTCGCAAATCGTACGGCAAATTCAAGCGGTGGTTCGTTCCTGTTTTCCAAAGAGGTTTAGAGACTAGCACGGTGTCGGCTCATTGGCTCTCCTTCATAATGTTCTCGATTTTTTAAAACGCATCGTATGAGTGGTAAAAGTAGCCTTTTAATGTTAGCTCATCGCAAGTGCACCGTTATTCTATCGTATCTCTATTCTCTGTTGGGCACAACCGCCGGAATATTCGGATAACTGCTGCCTGATAGACCGGATCTCCTGATCTTCGGTCTATCAAACACTCCTAGTCACTTGTTTTTAGAGACGGATTGTGACAATGAATATAATATTGTGGCAAAATGTACATGTTGAAAGAAGAGAATAAAATGTATTATGAGTTTTGCTGTTCACGTATTACATAAGGGAGGACCTTCATAACGTCTCATATACGGAAATTCATTTTAAAAAGTTTGAAAGAGATGTGCTTTTTTATATGTTCCTACATCCGCTAAAAACGCACTAGTTACGAAATAATCAAGAGACCTATTGACAAATCTTCAATAAAATTGTGCTTTTATTGTGTACGATTTACATTCCATTAAGTTTTAAAAATTTAGACCAAAACAACCAGAACTGAGGTAGACGAAAAATATTAGGATAGCTGTTTCAGCTTTCAATTTTTCCAGTGTGGTGAAATTTTCTGATTGCATTTTCAATGCATACTATTTTATTTACTGAAATAATTTCATTGATCAAAAATAATTTACTCGATTTCTTTACGCAATCGAATGACGACTCCATTTTTTTCTTAAGTAGCATAAGTAAGAGCCATCGACGAATTGGGATTTTGCTCCTACCAGGATGGAAAAGTAACCGGAAGGAGGACATCCGCACGTTCAGATTGTGCAAAAAGGCAGCTGTACGGCATTTCAAGGTTCTGGTCAATCCTTTTTGATGATTACATAAGAGTAGCATTACTCTGTTATTACACAAGACCACTCTTTTGCTTCAGCCGGATATCCGCAGATTTCAATGTCATGTTATTCCCCTGATGGTAAAATTATAGACAAGGGTCAACATTCCATTACTATTGTGGAGAAGATTGTCACATCGCTTAACTGACAACCTATGGATTTGAAGTGCATGCCCAAGGGATACTATAATTACCGTTTTTGTCGAACTGAATATTGGATAAAAAGTTATATTTACATAAAGAATTTCGATCATAAATAATAAAACGGCGAAAATCCTTTTTGTACCTTTTAATAATGATAAGCATGTTACCAACCAGTTTATCACTATCAATATCAACTAAATTGAATTGCAATTCAATTGCCTCCCTTTGGCTTTAAGAAGTCCGTACCAATATCACAGCTTTATGACACGAAATAGAAAACATAATTGTTAATTTCTTTCCTGAGTTTTTACATATCAAAATTTATTATCAGATAAATGGACAATAAGCGTTGATGTTCCTTATTGCTTAAAACCATATACTTTTTATAGTATTGATTTTGATAATGCTGAAACAAATGGCAAAATTGATTATGCATTCCAAGACAATGTTAGCAAATTGCCCGCGGCAATCGCATGTGGAGATTACTACGTTTCGTAAGGGAAATAAAACTTCACCTAAGCTGTTTACCATCCTGATAAAGCAATACTGCATTGAAGTAGTTAGAGCATCCGCAATAGAAATTGCAAATATAAATATTTAAAAAGCATAATCGATCGTAAATATTTCTTATCTCTTATTTCTTAGCTCTTATTATTAAAATCGCTTTATTGAATATGCTTTCAAGTTAGGCCAATAATTCTTCTTCGCGATAGTGATTTTACAAGTTACGGAAATTTTTTGAAAATTAAATATCAAAATGAACTTAATTAGGATTGTGACCTTTTGTCGAAAGTTTTTGTTGGGCGTGAACGCAATACAAAGAGACAAGCAAGCAGACATGTCTAGTAAAAGAAATAAATATAAAAATACGTCGGAAATAAAATAAGAATAATTAAAATGATTATAAAGTTTAACTACATTTCTTTTCGTGGATTAAGTATATCTTAACAACGTTTCAAGCATACATGAAAAGTTTTAAATGAATATTATGCGAAATGTATTTGAGGGAAAGGTACCTCCTTTTTACTTACTTAAGGGGAAAACATTGCAACCTGTCGGGTAGATTCGCGCCGAAACTCATTCTCCAGCAAGGAATGAACATTACCCTATCACGTGATGTAACGGACACTACACATACGGGACTAACAACAGGGTAGCTAACGCGCTCGGAAACCTTTTTCATTCAGTAAATAAATAAATTTTATCTACTTCCTCGTGTTTCTAAAGAAGACCCTCGTGTGTGCGTGTGTGTGTGCGTATGTGTGTGTGTACTCTTAGCAGCCTGTTCCCTTGCCCGCGCAATGTATTAGGGCTAGACGGGCAGGTAGAGGTTGCGCTCGTTTGGCGCGGCTGCGACGGAGACGCCAAAGTGCCGCGCGCGCTGTCGGCGGCGGCCTGCGGCACTTTACAACGCCCGCCTGCTCCAGTCCCGGCACGCGATGTCTGCGACGCGACCCGGCGAGCCGCCGAGCCGCCGACTCTGTCTGCACTTGCAGGACGCAGCCTCACGCGTTGACCTCAGGCCGGAACGTTCGCGACAAGGCGGCTCCACACACGCGGCATTCGGCGAATCCCGAGCAACCGCTCGTCGAATCCCGAGTAGTGTGAACGTGTTGCTTGCGATTCGCCGAGCACCGAACATTTGGCAGTCGCCCCACCCACCGCGTGTCGATCTTTAAGGCGGCCCCACACATGCGGCATTCGGCGAATCCCGAGCAACCGCTCGCCGGATCCCGAGTAGTGTGAACGTGTTGCTTGCGATTCGCCGAGCGCCGAACATTCGGCATTCGCCCTACCCACCGAGTGTCGATCTTTAAAGCGGCCTCACACATGCGGCATTCGGCGAATCACAAGCAACCGATCGCCGGATCCCGAGTAGTGTGGACGGGTTGCTCGCTATTCGCCGAGCGCCGAACATTCGGCATTCGCCCTACCCACCGAGTGTCGATCTTTAAGGCGGTTCCACACACGCGGCATTCGTCGAATCCCAAGCAACCGATCGCCGGATCCCTAGTAGTGTGGACGGGTTGCTCGCGATTCGCCCAGCACCGAACGTTCGGTATTCGCCCCACCCACCACGTGTCGATCTTCAAGGCGGCTCCACACGTGGCATTCGGCGAATCCCGAGTAACCGCTCGCCGGATCCCGAGTAGTGTGGACGGGTTGCTTGCGATTCGCCGAGCGCCGAACATTCAGCAGTCGCCCCACACACCACACGTCGATCATTAAGGCTGCTCCACACGCGGCATTCGGCGAATCCGGAGTAACCACTCGCCGGATCCCGAGTAGTGTGGACGGGTTGCTTGCGATTCGCCGAGCACTGAACATTCGGCAGTCGCCCCACCCACGGAGTGTCGATCTTCAAGGCGGCTCCACACGTGGCATTCGGCGAATCCCGAGTAACCGCTCGCCGGATCCCGAGTAGTGTGGACGGGTTGCTTGCGATTCGCCGAGCGCCGAACATTCAGCAGTCGCCCCACCCACCGCGTGTCGATCTTTAAGGCAGCTCCACACGCGGGATTCGGCGAATCCCGAGTAGTGTGGACGGGTTGCTTGCGATTCGCCCAGCGCCGAACATTCGGCAGTCGCCCCACACACCACACGTCGATCATTAAGGCGGCTCCACACGCGCATTCGGCGAATCCCGAGTAACCGCTCGCTGGATCCCGAGTAGTGTGGACGGGTTGCTTGCGATTCGCCCAGCGCCGATCGTTCGGTATTCGCCCTACCCACTGCGTGTCGGTCTTTAGGATACATCGAAGGGAGAAAACATTCGCCGAACACAACAGCTGTTGGGGATTGGGCGAGCAGTAGCTCGCTGCTCGGCGAATGCCGAATATGTGGAGCCGCCTTTAGAAGCAATCCTATAGTCAGTGAGTTTCTTTGGAATGCGTTTGAGAAGGGACTACACCTGAAACATACGCGCAACTGGTACTCGTTGAGGTGTACTTTTAGTCAGAGAATGCAGCTTTTCAAGTAATTTTATGAGCACATTGGAAATTTCCGATAAATTCTTGAGTCGCGAACGGAATGTATCTGAAAATTTCTAATCCACAAATGGTATTTAATAGGACTTCTTCAACAAGAAAATTGTCTTCAAAAGAGTTCTAAAAAGCAACATGTATTAGTTATACTAATAAAACACACATTCAGTAAATGTATGGAATCTGATGATTAGGTAGTAGAGAGAAGTGGTAAGACTCGCAATATTTTTTTTAAGACTGTTTTACTGATAGCCTCAAGCCCGATGCAATGTTATACCCTACCGCTGTTAATTTCGTGGGTGTAAAAAGCATTGTAATTCCACATTATTATCACAGTTCGTAATAATGTGTGAATGCGTTATACTAAAGCATAATAGAAAGATAATTTTTAAAAAAATTACATGTAAATAATTATGAAAGATTATTTGGCATGCCATATCAAAGCAAAATTCATTCGTGCATTAATTTCTTAGAATCGTTCAAAAATCAGTGATTTCATTTAAGTGACTTCAGCTCGGAAGCTAAATGGCGACGAGGAAGTCAATGATAGGTGTTTCGCTAATCGATGGCTCATTCATGATCATATTAAACCCTCGCCCAGAAGTAGTTCGTCCCACACAGCGATTAACAATGTGCCTTGTGTGTGTGTGTGTGCAGTTCCCTGCCGCGGCGACGGAGCCCAGAAGAGTGCCCCCCGAGTGGAGGTTGGCGATCGCGAAGCCCAGAGCCCGGTGCGATGGCGGCGGCGACGATGGCGGCGGCTGCGGCCGCGGCGACGGAGGCGCTGGCGGCGGCGGCGGTGGACGAGTGTCACCCGGACGGCACCTTCGGCTGGCCCGACTACCTGCTGCTGGCCGTGATGCTGGTGGCGTCCACCACCATCGGCCTGGTGTTCGGGCTGCGCGGCCCCAAGCAGGCGACGGCCGAGGACTTCCTGCTGGGCGGCTCCTCCATGGGCGTGGGGCCCGTCGCGCTCTCGCTCGCCACCAGGTGCGGCTCTCCCCTGCGGTCTCTGTCTTTGGGCTCTCTTCTACTTTTTCCTCCTCTCCTCGGTTCTTTTATCCTCCTCCTCCTTCTCACTTTTTCATCCTCCTTCTCACTTTTTCATCCTCCTTCTCACTTTTTCATCCTCCTTCTCCTCCTCCTTCTCTCTTTTACTTCCTCCTCCTCCTCCTCCTCCTCCTCACTTTTTCAACCTTCTCCTCCTTCTCACTTTTTCATCCTCCTCCTCCTTCTCACTTTTTCATCCTTCTCCTCCTCCTTCTCACTTTTTCATCCTTCTCCTCTTCCTTCTCACTTTTTCATCCTTCTCCTCCTCCTTCTCCTCCTCCTCCTCCTCCTCCTCCTCCTCCTCCTCACTTTTTCTTCTTATTTTCAATTATTTCTATCCCTCATTCTTTCATCCCTTCCTAATGTTAGTTGTTTTTCACACTCTCCTCCTCTCGCCATTCTTCAGTTTTTCTCTTTTCAGTTTAGATCTTACTTTCCTATTTCTCTTCGTTCGTATATGATTTTTCTGTTCCGTTTCTTATCTCTTTTATCGTCGGATCTCAACAAAGTGACATAATTGATAAAGTGACATAATTTACTATATATATACTCTACACAATTTTGCTAATTATCCATTTGAAATATTTACTAGTAGAAAATACTGTTTTCTAAATCTATTTCTGCACGTAACTCAATGACAATTTTTGAGATGTCACTTTTCTTGTACGTCGACTATATGTTATTTTTGCTTCTATGTCATGTTTATGTCCATTATCTTTCCTATTCCTAACTATTCAATGGGGCACTTCGTAATTTTGATTATCAAACTCACCACGTTTTGTTTTTCATTCATAGTGATTCATGAAACAATTTCAGCGTATTTTGCCTTAGATCTTGGAGGATACCAGATAAGGGAATGGGAGACGCTCTTAGGGCGCGTTTTCTAGTTACACAGGCTAACTATAAAAGGAAATATTTTCCTAGTGTCCAACGTTTATCTGAGGGTGGTGGGAAAAAAATGTATGAAAAAATAAAACAACGTAATGTTTGAGGGGAAAACTTTTACTTCAAAACTCGTGGGCCTGAATTTTCTTGACTGCCAGTTTCTTTCATGCAGGCGCGTTATATTGCTGCCTTGGACCTTCATGCAACCAGAGCACTAGCTTATCTGTTCGCAATTCAAACACGTTGTCCTCGTTCAAGAAAACGGGATAAGAATGCAATTACGAACGAGCGAATGGGCGCAGATAACAGACAATAGCCCCCAGAGTCGTGTAAAACATTTTAAAGGCATAACGACGACCAGTCTGTCGCGCTCATTATTCGAAGTTCAATAAATTTTCGCAAGTCGTCCCCGACGGATTGAGGTCGACGAGGCCGCGGGCATCGGACGTGGCGAACTGCAGTGGCGCGAAACAAATACGCATGCGCCGCCGAACACAGGCGGAGCCAGAAAGCGTCTCAGAGAATATGGAACAATTTCGGTTTAGAATTATCATAATCGCCCTTAAATATTTTTGAAATTCTAAAAATTGTCTAGTTGAAATTTAAATAAATAAGAGTACATATTCAAAGTGGGAATTATTCTACTTGCGAGAGTGTGGGTTAGAAGTGATTCTGTGCGCACACTTTACTTAGGGAATAATAACACTGTTCCTCCACTCCTCGCTGGAAATAGAGATACGGTGCCGACCCACACGTCAGCTTGCTGAGATTTTTCTCTCTCCTGGAAGCTCCCTAGGAGGGAAATGCACTAAACTCCCGACGTGTGTGCCACTGTAATACATGTGTGTGTGTGTGTGTGTGTGTGGTAAGGAGAGAGGCGGGACAAGGATGAGGAAGGAAAAATCGCGGCCGGTTCGTGGCTTTCGTAGAGACTAGAACCGGAAGACCTCCCTGTCAACGATGCTGCAGAGAACACTGTGTTGCGGTTTAAGTATCGCAGGCGGTCTCCGAGCAATAAATACGTGGCAATAATTCTGAATGTAAATTAAATAAAATTATCAAAGAATTAATTCTGGGGGTGGGGTCAGAGGTCCCCCTCGATCCGCCACGACCGCCGCGCAGCCCCTCGCAGCCTCCCGACCTCGCGCCCGTCGCAGCCGAATGCGTCCAAGGCTGCGCGGCTGCACGCAGAATGCAGCCCGCGGTTGGCGGCCCACGCGCCTGCAATTTGCCGGATCCCGCCAGCGGATTTCCAGCGAGCGCAAGTGGCCGGTCATTAACCTGACAGTCAAAAAACTGCCCTGCTGTAATTCCCTCTCGCAATTCCACCAACTGCTGTACTCGTTCCGAGTTGTTCCCTCGTATGGGATTAGGTAGTCGAGAACAGGAGGAGACTCGTTCGTCACGGATTCGGTCACAAAATAACAGCAACTTCTCGTAGATTGGACGAAGCGTAACGGAAAAAAATATCTACTGCTGTAAGTTCTTTGTATGATTGAATACTACATGCAAACTGAAGCAAAAAAATATTTTTTCGTAAATAAATTTAAAAAGTGAAGTATCAAAAATGAAAATAATTTTTTAAAATTAGAAAAATTAACTGTTACACAAAACAATTAAGGACACTAAATATTTAAGTTTCTCAACTTGCCTTTCTTATTTATTAAAACATTTTATTAGGCAGTGTTTTATTACATTTTATTGGGTTAGGTCGTTTTGCATGTGTATTGCTTAGAGGAGTCCCTCAAGGCTCCGAAATCCGGCCGCGCCCGAAACCGCGCATAAATTCGTAGAAGCCGCGTCATGCGCGCGCCGCCGCGTCATAAACGCCTCCAGGCGTCGGGCGGGAGTGCAGGACTTGGGGGGAGGGGCGACGCGACCTGCGCACGCACACTCGCCTTGTCCCGTGAGCGCGCTTCGACGCTATAAAGCGCCGTTAATGCGGCAACGCACCGCGGGCGACGGCGCCGCGTGTCCGTCCACTCTCCCTCCCCCTCCTCCGCCCCTCCTCCTCCTCCTCCGCTGACCGCGGCCTAATGGAAGGAGCCTCTGTCTGATAGCCTTCGACGACGTTGGGCAACAACCACCAGGCTCGTTCGTTCCGTCAGCCCCCCACGGCGGTAAAACTTGCGTCCTGTCATTTGGAGTAACCTCAAAATCAAAGGCAGAAAGTCTTTGAACAGTGCCAGCTGAAGGGAGTTTTCTTTCCTTCCAGTGACGGAAAGTTGAGTGTTGCTTTCTCGTTTTTCGGTTTTCTTGAAGAAGAACGTGTAATGAGCATAGCGGAACAAAAATATTTTGTGGTTGCTAAAATTTTGTGCTGTTTTTACTGAAATTCACATATGTTAGTCAGAAACTATGTACGCATGGGGCCAAACAATAAAGTGTCCACTTATGAATGTCTTAAGTAGAGTTTAGAAAAATAGACTTCTACAAACAGCAGCAATTTAGATGCCTTCGCTGTATTACATACGCGTATTATGGGTGAAATATTTTGCAAATATCAATGTAGCGACAGAGATTGAAGGAAGTGAAGAAGCTAAGGAGGACCCTCTCTCCTGCTCCCCTGTGCTGTGGATGATCCACAAGGACATGAGATACGACCGGAAACGAACGACCCTCCGCCTAAATGACGCCCCTCTCCTCTCCACCCGGGCTAGTGGCAGTTTACTAAGGGGAAATTGAGAAGAGTTACGTTCCACCCAGGATAGGGTTTAGCATGTTTCATTCTGCTTTATCAGCTTCGGAGACAATAGCTTCCAGCTTGAGATGCACCATATCCAGACCGCGAAAGACGGGGGGGGGGGTTGAGGCACAGTTGGATTTATATGTTAGAACCCTAAGCATAACCAAACGATGGTTCGCACTAATATTGAAACATTGAGAATATGTAATGAAAATTGGAATGTGAAATTAAACTATAATCTTTGCCGTTTAATCATTTAACATTAATATATTTCTACATATTATGAACTAATTAAAAATGTTCTTAAAAATATTAATAGTGCCCCTTTTCCAGGTGGAGGGACAGGGATTCTAGTTATTATTCTAGGTATTATATTATGAATTGATGCGCCTCTGGATTCAGGAGACCTATTGAATGACACATGCCTGCCCAATTATCCCCCTTTAATAGATGAATTGGGGAGGGGAGGGAGCGATTTCTTTAGAATGTCCTTTATTTTTATTCCCTTATTTACATTCGATAAATATTATTTTTAGCATATTATTTATACTCAATCAATGAAATATAACTCATTATGTACGATATTTCAAATAGAAATAGGATGGGAAAATACCACCTGTTTTATCATATTTAAAACAGCGATATTTCAAACATCGATATTTTTGTTGAGGTCTTCATCGACATCGAAAAACCTTATAGTGATGAATGGATATATCAATGTTTGGGTAAAATTTGCCATCATGAGGGCCCGCACGGGACCCACCGAGCTGCGCCAGCGCTGCGCGAAAGGCTTGCGCGATCGGTCTGTCGGTCGGTCGCTTTCCCCGCGCGCTCGCACCTCCCGCCTCGCGCGCGCCTCAGGCGCAACGGGCGAGCGAGCGCCCGCCTGCGACCTGCTTCGCCAACCGCCTCGCTCGCGCCCGCCCGCCCGGCCAGCGCCGCCAGCGCCGCGAGCGGCAGCCCGCCGAACACCGGCGACGAGCGTGCACGGCGCCGCGAGTTGCGGACGGGCGGGAGGGAGCGGGTGCGTGAACGCGTAGAGAAGCTGGTGCGTGTTGGGTGAGTCAGCAGCAGCAGCGACCGGCGCGGCGCGGCGGAGGCGTGGCGGTGCGGCGGCGCTCGCCCGGAGCGCGCGTGCGGCCGCCGACCCGCCGCCGCGCAGCGGCAGTGCGGGGCGGGGCGAGGCGGGAGAGACCGCAGTCAGACGCCAAGGGCGACGGGCTGTCTGCGCCGACCGCTTCCCGGATGCGTCACGTGCGTGATAAGCGGAGCCGCGCGCGGGCGCCAACTTCAAACAACAACACCACCGCCGCGGCGGCGACGCGAGACTGAGCTGCGCAGCTTATCGCCGGGGAAACTGGGAAAGCACGGCGTCGTACTGTGCGGGGGCGGGCGCGAAGTCTGAACAACTCCTGTGACGTTAGGTTTTTACTTATCAGACAGCTAGAGGCGACGATAGCTGAAGAGGCTCGCATAACATTGGATGGCTCTTAAAATGTTGGTAAATATCTCGTCTCATAATATGTATTCAGTTTAGAATTCGGAATTAACTTTCATTTTTCCTGTTGGGCATCTAGAATATTATTAGAAGTATTAATTAGAAAGACATTAATGTCAATATCCTCTGTAAAATGCTGAAATACCGAGTCCTGTTAAGTTTATCTACTCCTCAATGAGAGACATCCTTTGAATCCCCTCTCCTTAATTACGGAAGACGCCTCAGAGAGATTGCCTCTAACGGCATGGCCGAGCGGCACCGAGGCTAACAGAGGCTGTCGTTGCAGCTTCATCACGGCCATTGAGCTGTTGGGCAACCCGGCCGAGGTGTACGCGCACGGCACGCAGTTCTGGCTCATCTGCGTGCCGTTCGTGGTGGTGGCGCCGGCCGCCGCCTACTTGTACATCCCGGTCTTCCACAAGCTGCACCTCACGTCGGCCTTCGAGTACCTGCAGCTGCGCTTCGCCCCGCCCGCGCGCACCCTCGCCGCCGCCATGTACGCGCTGCAGATGACGCTGTACACGTCGGTGGCCGTCTACTCGCCCGCCCTCGCCCTCAGCCACGGTGAGCCCCTACTCTCTAATACAAGGAACGAGAAATAAATCAACCAACCAGCCAATGAAATGCAAACAAAAGAGGCGCACCCACGATTTTGCTCCGGAGGGGGGGGGATATCCAACCGACTTGATGTAGCCTCATAAATAATTTCATTTATGCGGAACATTAGATTTATTTTAATTTGACATAATGTTGCAAATATTAACTTAACAATTGTCATATTTAATGATTTTTCCGTTGGTGTAGAAATTTTGTAGAATCGATATTGTTGAATAAGTATCATTGGCTTTTGATGGGGGGAGCTAAAATTCCTTAACGCCCTCCCTTGGGTGCGCCACTGGTAAATGAGGAAACAATAACAAGAATAAAGGTGTAAAGGGTAAAATAATGTAATTTAAGGAATCAAATACATGAAACACTGTTTTTAAAGCTGTTGAGCTTAAATTTATTTTCAAAAGAATTCTTCTTTCAAGATAATGATTCTTTCTTAAAGTACGTCAAAGACATATCTTATCAAAGAAATATTAATGTATGGTATAGAGAAAGCACACATAAAACTTTACTCATAAAATTCCACAAATGGCTGAGATGATGTCGAAGTCTATATATTCGCAAACTCGAAAAACAGTTTTCGGTCAAGTTGCAAATGACTTAACAAAATGCTAATTGAAAAAAATTAATACTGATATTTTTTTGTATTTCAGTGACTGGACTTAATGTATACATTGCTGTAACGTGCGTCTACATCGTCGTCATCGTATATGCGTCACAGGTAAGAGAAAAAGAAGAAAATGTTACTGAATAATTTATTATCTAACTCTCTGAAGTCTTCTCTCTCCGTGTAGTACATTTTTAACGGGATCGAAACTATAGAAAATATCATAGTTAATTTTCTTCCGAGCCAAGAATCTTCAAATCAAGTAAATACCCTAAAAAATTAACTTTTTAGACTAGAGAGATCTGAAAGGGAAACGGTAAAATCCTTATATTTCCCGAAAAAAGTTAAATCAAGATATAAGCTAAAATAAAATGGCTAGAAATAATTAAGTGGTAACATTGAGCATTCTTAGATAAAATATTGTAGAATTGTGCCCTCATTTGTAAATGAATTTAATAATTTTCCCAAGAGATAATTCGCTAGTAATTTAAAGCTATGTGATCACTAAGGTGAGCAGTAGGTGAGACAAACTTCGTATTCCCGCAGGGTGGCATGAAGGCGGTGATGATGACGGACATGTTCCAAGCGGTTGTGCTGGCAGCCTCCATCCTCGCTGTGCTGGGCATTGGCCTGGTCCTCGAGGGCGGCATCTCGAAAGTGTGGGACCTCAGCGCCAAGACAGATCGTCTCGAATTCTTCAAGTGAGTTCATTGCACCCACATTGCTAGTCTCAAATGTTGTGTAAGCACGTAAAGAAACTTCGCGAGAAACTACCCCAGACCATACTCCATTATCAGAAAATCGATGAATCGCCTTCTTTGAACATAATTGTAGGCAAAATTATATACTTTTATCTTCAAATATATCGTTTTTTCACTTATAATAAAAAATCAGTAACTCCGTCTAACGCGATGTCACATAACTAATCTTTTAGCATCGTGTGTGTGTTCACAAACAGGATTTCAAAAGTTGAACGGATGTCAAGGCGTAAACAGAACCCGTTATGCACGTCGGTACTGCAGGTTGCATAGGCGAGGCGTACACTTGTCTGCTTGTATATTTGCTTCCGGTATTGAACGGACCTCGAAGAATCAAAAACCTTAAATTGCGACAAAATTATAATTAGCTGTTTTAATAATTTTAATACTCTCTACAATAACTAATTACGAACTTCTTTTGCAGTATGGATCCCAACCCAACAGTGCGTCACAGCTTCTGGTCAGTAGTGGTAGGAGGTTCATTCTACTGGGCAACAATGTTCTGCGCTAACCAGGCGTCCATCCAGAAATGCCTCTCCGTAGAAACCATGAAACAGGCTCGAACGTGAGTATTATTTAGAAATTCCTCGTAGCAAAGTGCTCATCTTGACTAAATCTGTATTGCATTGAGTCAAGTGGAAAGGTGAAACAAATAAGTTTTTAATACTTGAATGAAATTATTTTCTCTAAGAAGATATTTTGGACTTGTTTTTAATAACTAGACTTCAACCATCACATATTGTGAATAATATAATATTTTTATTACTCATAAATGGAAACAAATCGAATTGAAACAAATTCGACTTGTTCATATAGTTATATGTACTCGTAACGGTGAATTAAAGATCTAAATATCAGAATATTATTTCCTTTCACCTAGATACTATTTCTAACAGACTGGTACTTCCTGCGAAACAAAAATAATTAATCAAACGTTGTTGTTTTTTGTTTGTTTTCAGTGCCATTTGGGCTAGCTGCATCTGCTTGATTGTAGTCTTCTCCATAAATTTTATTACTGGAATGATTGTCTATGCTGGTTATCATGGCTGTGATCCTTTGAAAACTAATGTAAGTATTTACCATTGTTTTGAGGGGGGTTAGACGAACGTAGGTTTTAAAATAGCGTGAAAATGAGTGAAAGTCGTGAACTGAATAAAAAATTGAATATAAAATTTGCTGGGAACAATACGTTAAATTTCAGAAAATTGTAAAACTTCTGTACGTCTTACGTCTCAACTTACTAATTTTATAAAGAATCTTGCAAATATTGGATTTTCAATTTTGGCTAATCAAAGTGATTATGTAAGTCACTTGTTGAATACAAAAGATCTTCATATCAATATCGTTGGGCCTTATTTATGACTTTATTTATTATTATTATTATTATTATTATTATTATTATTATTATTATTATTATTATTATTATTATCGAACTGGATATTCTACCATTCACATTTTCGTGAATGTAGTGTGCATGCATTCGCTGCCCACGAGAATTAAAACGCGTAGTGATTTACAATGAAACAAAGAGTCAGTAAGTAGTGTGAGTCCAAAGGCGAGTGCTGAGCGACGAGTGTTGGCTTGCGCAGACCATCTCGGAGGCCGACGAGCTGCTGCCACTGTACGTGCTGGAGTTCCTGAGCCACCTGCCGGGCATTCCGGGCCTCTTCGTTGCCGGCATCTTCGCCGCCTCGCTCGGGTGAGTCTCCGCCCTTTTCGATTCCTCCAGAGAAAACTATCAAGAATCAATGTAGATGCGAATCAATGTCAATCGCCCTGAATCAATGTAGATGTGGACGTTACTAGTGGGGATACGCCTCCCCGTTCAAACGTTTTAAATAGTTACGGCAGTTTATTTTAATTTCGTTTTCTAATATTAACGTAAATGATGCATTGACCATCCCTTCGAAGTCTGAATTCGTATTTACAGATTAGTATATCACAAAAACGATTGAGTATTGAGGTCACTTCTCATACACATCAAAATCTTCTCAATCTTCACGAGTTAGTATCATTGCTAAGAGATGACATTAAATTGTACATGAAATATATTTTATTGTGGAAGATTAATTCCATTCCTTGAAAACCACTTTAACTAGATTTTGAATTTCTTCCCGATTCTTAGCATCGGAATGAGAGTGCGTAGAAAAGCTAACAATGATAGGTTCGAAAGGAGGTACTTCTTTGTGTAGATTGCGGCCCAAGAAACATACGTGGTATTCTTTTAGGAACACGAAAGTAACATTTTCAGTATTTAGATTGCATCGTTTTCGAGTTACGCCCGATAGTGAAGTACTACATTGCAGCATAATCTGCGTTGATGGTTGCATGATCAATCATTGTCCCTACGACATTATCTGTAATTTTATATTATTTGTTTCCATCTTCAAACTTTTCGTTGCCGTCGTCGACGCAGGTCTGAGGGGGAGGGAAATTTCCTCCCCATAAACAGCACACTTTCGGTTTTTTTAATTGAATTTGCCTTATTTTACGTGGCGAGACTCGGGCCATCAGGCCCGCTCTTCCGTCTGACCATGCAAATTTCGCTACGACACTATCCTTTCACCAACTAGCAGAGAAAGGAGGTATTTCTTGGGCGAGAAAGAGGCGATTAGAATTTAGCTCAGAGGCGTCATTTAGGCTTGAGGATCTTTTACATGCAAGTAAATCTACTAACATGGGACAGCCGGCTTTACTTCCCCTCCGAAGGAAGATTTTTCCGCCCTTAAAAATCCACGGCTTTGGGTACAACAATCCACGATCGGGTTTGAACCCGCCTACTTGGGTACAATAGTCCGATACGCTAACCGTTACACCATCGCCGCCGAATTTTGAGTGAATGTTTTCTCCTAAACTGTAATATTTGCTTAGCTGCCGTATAGAGACGTGTTTGTTAACCGTCACTTGTGTTTGCGTTTGCGGCAGCACGGTGGCGGCGGCGTTGAACTCGCTGACGGCGGTGACGATCAAGGACTTCATCACGGGCGCCATGGGCAAGACCCTGCCGCCGGAGCGCGGCGCGGCGCTGGGCAAGTGGCTGTCGCTGGGCTTCGGCCTGCTCTCCTTCGCCCTCGTCTTCCTCGTGGAGCGCCTCGGCAGCGTCCTGCAGGTGCGTCGGCCCCCGCGGCCGCCTGGCTCGCTGCGCTCCACAAACGGTTGTTTTTTGTGTTAAGAGCATGAAGTGTGATGGGGGTTTTTGCACACACAAATGAGGGGGTGGAAGTGTAAAATGGAAATTACAGGAAACGGATTTCTTGATTTGTTTAATTACTGTTTGGAGGATTATAAAATGTATTCTGGAAATGTAAATGAGCTAATATATCAGGAACTGGAGAGTTTATGTAGTGGGAGTGAAATGAATGAATGGGTGATGGATGAATGAAGGGGTGATGAATGGATGGATGGATGGATGGATGGATGGATGGATGGATGGATGGATGGATGGGTGGGTCCATGAATGTATGTACGTATGTATGGATGAATGAATGATTTCATGCCAGATCGAGATATCGAGGTAAACGAAAATATAGAAACACTGTAAGAAATTACTATTTCGCTCGCAAATATAAAAAAAAATTAAACAATAGTATAAAAATGATTACATTCTGATTACAAAATGATTACATTACTATTAGTTCCATTTCAACTCTTCATGGTTTTGGAAACAAAAGCACCATTCTTTCAGACTGTTAATGCGAAAAATATACTTTTCGCGGAGTCGACGCAATGTTTTTCAGGTGTCTTAATAAAAAGACTAGCTTCACGCCCGCGTAGTGGCACGTAAAGTTCATTTTTATGCAATCGTATAAAAATTGTTAAAAATTGAAATACAAATCAAACATTAAGAAACTAAATGTTTTATAAAGTTAAATTAAAAATTAAATGCTTTTTTATCCATTAGAACCATAAAAAATCATTGTTTTTTGTTCTTGGCAAAATTACCTACGGTTTTATTCTCAAATTAACTAAAAAATTAAACCAAGATTGACGATTTTATTTCACCTCTAATACAATTTATGTAATTGCGCGAGTCGATTTTGTATCGTCGCCTTCACAATAGTCTCAAAACAAAGAGTAATGTCATTTGAGCATGCTTATAATATTTTTATATTTCGGTTAACTAAAACTGCAAAAGCATTATTGTTGCCTTGGATTTTATCAATGTTCTCGATTACATCTGTTCTACCTGCTTCTCTATGCCAAGCAGACTCCATCGTTCTCGCTGTAGATGTGTTTTCAAGGTGCTTGAAATATGTTATGAAAGGAATGAACATGATAAACGTCATTACTAATATTGAATCTTCTTCCACAGATCGCGCTTAGCTTCAATGGCATGGTCGGTGGTGTCACGTTGGGCATGTTCTCTCTTGGAATGTTCTTCCCATGGGCCAACACTAAGGTAAATAGAGCGTCTCAATCAGTCTTTAAAAGCTAATTTGTTAGTCGTTCTTAAACACTCAAATGTGAAGGGGAAAAAAACTCTCGTGTTTATGCAAACATTTAATTATATACGAATGGAAGAGACATTTATATAGTTTCTTTGGTTGCATTCAATATTTTTAAATTTCCTTACTCTTTTACATCAGCGACGATACCGAAAATTAGTGAAACGAGTATTAGTATTTGGGGGACAAATATGCAACCGTAGTGCAATCCTGTTGGGAAGCGAATGCACGGAGTCATTTTCACACAATCGATTAGTTTAAATGCGACTGTTTGTACTTTAATTCTATCTCAATCTCTCTTCCAAAGTGCCTCTATTGCGGTGAGATCAACGTGTGTTTGTGTGTGCAGGGGGTGTTGGTTGGTGCTATAACGGGAGTGGCTGTTGTGACGTGGATCTGCGTGGGTGCTCAAGTGGCCATGGTGAGCGGACACATCGTCGAAGAGACCAAAGAAACCACAATCGACTTGTGTGAATGCGTCCTCAACATCACCGTGCCCGAGGATCCAGCGCCCGGAGAGTAAGTTTGATTTAAGAGTTCATAGTATTTTGTTGAGAATGTTGGGGGTACCTTCGGCGTATAATATATATATATATATATATATATATATATATATAATATATATATATATAATATATATATATATATATATCGGTTTTGATAATATATATTGATTAAAATAAACCTAAATTATTTGAGAGGAATTATTTTAAACTTAAAATTCTGAATGTATTTAAAGTGTTTCCCATTAAAAATTAGATTGACAATTTATTTTTACATCGTAAGATATCGAACATCGCACACACATATTGAAAAATTCAGTTTCCGATATTAATCTGCTTGAAGGAAATGGAATACCAGCAGAAACGGTAGTCATTCAAAGAATTGACCACTCACGGGAAGGGTTTCATTATTTCAGTGCAAAGTTAATAGGCGGCATTAACCGCACATGCTAGATTGCCCAGATATGCGGGAATATGTTCAGCCACAATTTTTAAGAAATGATCCCAAAATGTACACACACGGGGTCAATACACACATAACTAGTACTTGTGCCTCCCTAGATAAAAAAAAACAAAGTACAAAAATGACACGGAGGATCTAAAAATTGGAAGCTGTGTTGGTTCGACGTAGTGAATTCTCATTTCGTGAGAAATACTTCTCAGCTCATGCGTCTTCCTTTACAACCAAATAAGCCCTATTTTTCTCGGTTTTAAAATTATCATAAGGAGAAAAGGACAATTTAAAGACTGTCGGTAACCTCTCTGCTTTTGCAAAGCAATTTAAGAACCGGTTTATTCCATAGAGCTACTAAAAAACGGGTGAAAAAGTTAGTCTTTATATATTTGTATTAAATTAATGATAATTAAAAGATCATGTGTAATAATAGTAATAATAAATAACAAAAACGCCCCATTTAGTCCTGTGCTTTTGATCACCTTATTATAGCACTTTCATAGAATTTTGTTTTTCTTCTCTCCTAGACAATTTTCTTTTGTAACTTCGTTATTCTTGAAGTACGATTTGTAAAGAACTTTGACATTTCCTAACAGCGCGTTCTCTCTTGCCTGCAGGGGTGACACTGTGATGGCGCTGTACCGACTGTCGTATCTGTGGTACGGCGCGGTGGGCTGTTGTCTCACGGTGCTGGTAGGGCTTCTGGTGAGCGCCATCACGGGCACGCAGCGACCCGGGGACCTCGACCCCACTCTCATCTCGCCGCCCGTGTGGACGCTGCTGCACGCGCTGCCTAGCGGATTGCGACGCAAACTCAACGTGCCGGCGAAAGAGGTGCGTGAATGCCTTGTTCAATTGTTTCTCGTTTTAAACGGAGAACAAAATGTGTCAGAAGGCATTAAGCTGTTATTCGTTTTGTCAGGGTTACCACACGTTTTCTGGAACAAATTTCCTTACTTTTCTTGGTGTACTTTTTCCTTATAAAATGTATTAAGTGTACACACACTTTGTCGGCTCTGATTACGCCGTAAAAAATAAAATTAACGTTTGCACTGTAAACATGAGTGTGTGCAGGAGGGCTCTGACCTTGCAAATATTGTAAATGGATCGTAACCTTGTGTATAAAGCTTTTTATGTTAAATCTGATAAAAATTACTATAGAACGTGAAAAATGTCAATTTTCTAAAAACTATTTTAAAATATTGGAAAATATACATTGCGGAACGATCCAAAACTGAAAACTTTTCACACACACCCCCTCGAAAGACGGCCAATTCAGATTCAATACCCCATATAAACTTATCTAACTGAATTCGATTTAAATCGGGGGAAATGTTGCCAAATGGAGTCGATACCTTCTACAGCCACTCACTCACTCATACAAACACGCACATTCTTGGCTGTCTGCAGACGTCCATGACTACAAATAAAATAACTACGTGGTACTAATGAATGACGGTCTTCCTGGTACTGGTTATATATCACTATTCTAGGCCAGCTTCGGGTTTACCTCACTCTCTTCCCGGTTGCCATCTATCGACGGCTAAAATACAATTTTCGCTTTAAAAAACAGCTTTTGCGTGGTAATTTTCATTTAAATACTTGGAGCGGTTATTGAGAATATGTCATTTGAGCATTTCATAAAATACGTAATTCTGAGTTTTTCATAAGAAATCATTGGCAACACTTGCACTAACAAATGACATAGTACAAAAGGCGTAATGAATATATTAGCAATTCGAGAGATACTAAAAACATATAATTCTTGAAAAACTAAAGTACTTCAAACTTGCCTCTTGTCACGTTATTCAGGGCATTTAAGCACTATCCGTACAAAAAGTTAAAGGAAAAAATGAGCCCTTGTTGAGACAATATTGTTTTTAATATTGTCTTTTTCACGCAAAATTGCCTGAAAACAACTCAAGTTTTTTTGAAAAATTGTATTCCATCTTATTTAAAGATGCAACTTTGAAGAACAAATTTTATTTAAGGAAAAAAAATATCTTCAATATTGAAGATATAGGAAGAAAATAATTAAACTTTTGTAATTTTCGAAAATTCAGAGAATCCAATGAAAATATGACATGTCATTTTATACATGTTTGTTTGTTTCTTTATTTTATATCGCTGGGCAACTTCGTGGTCATCAGCGATCACAATCTGATTTATAATATTTCATTATGGCTGTCGTCCATAAATTACGTAACGCTAAAGCGAGGGGAGGGGCTGTGAGTCAGCGTTACGCTGTGTTACTTAGGGGCAGGGGGCATTAAGTGTTACGTAATATTGATATTTTTTTACATTTTTCAACTTTTCCTGAAATAATTCCTTTGTGAGTCTTGTAATAAAACATTAAATAATGAACTAATTAATTCGTTTTAAAAACAAACTTAAGTTATCAGTTGTAAATTGTTACAATAAATGGAAGTATTTTTTCAACATTTTGTAAATCTAAGATTTAAATTGGCGCTGTAGACACTCGCTCTTACCTCATTCACGACGTGTACATAGTTTAGGATCAACCATTTCTCTCCCAAGCATTCTTCCTTCAGTCACAATCTTGTTAGGTGCAGCCAGCATCGCCACCTAATCTCTACTTTAATTATCATTATTCACTTTAATACGCAACACAAATAAATTATATACAAATTATCTTCACCGGGCTAAAACATTTTCAGTTCTTCCATTTACAAGGGAGGGGGGTATCGCAAACATTATGTAATTATTTAGGGGAGGTTCAAGCGGGCGTTACGGGTTCGTTACAAGTGGGTGAGGGAGTATTGAAAATACTCCAAATTTGCGTTACGTAATATATGGACGGACCCATAAGAAAAATGTGCATTTCTGATAACCTTTCATATCATTGTTCATTAACAATTTAAAACATTAAATTTTACGCAGTCTTACATCCCGCTAAAAAAATTAAAACTACATTCTATTTTTTCTAAAATGGCTCCGCAAATTTTTTGTTGAATTTGAAACTAATAGGGACTAAACTAACTTGGAACTAAGGGACCAGGATATCAGCCAAATGATTTGGGAATATCAAATTCCAGACTGTAGTAGAGGAAGTAGTAATTACTACATTCAGAAACAATTATTTGCCACTCGCAAAATGAGATTTTCTATTCAAATTCAGTTTTTGCTACAGCATTAAAATAATGCCTTTATAATATGTAGATAGTTTGTGCGAAAGTAAAACATTTTTTATTTGAGATATGTTCCAGACTTCTAAAAATTTTTTAATTCTGACACTTCTTCCTAAAAATTAAATTTCCTAACGTTTTTTTCTCGTTTTCCACAAATAACTCGCCCTGCCTGTAGTTACTAAGTAGTCAACCTCATAATTATGTCTCGTTATCTTCTGACCAATTTATCAATTTCCTTTGTCTTGGTACAAATTTTAAAATACTCCATTAGTTCCATAAATATATTTTTGTGAAGTAAGTAAAGTAAAAATAAAGTTTCCTTTACAAAAGTCAAAAGCATGGTATATATGGTATTACCACCTAGATAAACCAGTTAGATTTTCATAAACATAATGTTCTGATATTTCTGAAGGTACTATGAGTAGTTTTCATATATTTGCCTTGAAAGATTTGTCACCTTGATACCTATTCTACACTGACACCAATTTCATTATTTAAAGCCAAGCTTAAGAGTTGTATTTCTAACAGTAAATTTAAATAATAAAATTGGCAAACGCTAATTTGAAAGACATTCAAATTTTAGCGTAATATAATTTAAAAAGATTTCATTCCAAAATTTATATTTCTTTACTCCCTTTTGTAGATGCAAGAAGAAGAAAGTAATGCAGTCGCTAAATACATCGCTGAAAATCCACCAGATAATCTCAATACTAATTATTTAGCTTTCTATTAATGTTACAAAGTATTTCTTGTAATACATTTAAAAAATATACAATAATCAAAGGTCTTATGTTAGAATCGTAGAATACTTTTTTCATCTTGTTCTAAAATCAGATTATGCATTTCCTTTATTAAAAAGAAAAACTTGAAAATTCGTTCTTATGAGATACCTTTACTACTCAGACTGAAACTTCAAATTCTATTGAAGGGAGTAAATCCTTTATTAATTCTAATACTAAGTTGAACTGTTTGCTTTCCAGTAGATAAACACCTCAATTCACAGAGCTCTTATCATTTTAAGGTCTGAAACACAATATATCTCATTTAAGGTGCAGAACCTGATGCTTTAGATTTCAGTCATTAAATCAGATCAGGTTTGTTGTCATTCATTCCGAAATTGACATTTGTATTTTTTTTATTCCTACACCTTATGAAAAACAGGAAATGGAAATTGGTTCTCAAAACTGTACTTGTTACACATGAAACTCTTAGGTATTTTAAATTCATCACCTCAAAAAAATCTACCATGCAACTCCAAATTTCAGCAGTACACACAATACTTTCATACAGTAAATAAATATTAAAATATTTCTCTTTACTTTTCATAGAGCAAGGACGGCAAAGAAAATCTGGCAAATAACTTCAAGTTGTCAAGTCAAGATGTCTATGTGATTGGGCTGGATAATCCTGCTCTGGCAAAAGATGAAGATACAGTGGCGACAGAAGAAGTGACACGAAGTGATGACCTGCAGCGAGGCAGATAAACCTATTTCTGGGAGGACTTTAATTCTCCTTTGACGTGTATAAACTTCAGAGAAGTTTGATCTTATCAGTATTTCCTAGAATTGTCTAGATGTACTTTTTATTTATGTTTTAAGTTATTTAGTGACAGTGAGTGTGATTGTTGTACAGTTAGCTTGTGCCATATGTTGTTTTAACATAAATCTCTGTTTATTCTCATTTACTAAAAATATTATGTCTAAAGTACATGAGGAAAAATGTTTTCCGATATTTTCTAGATGAATTTCTGACTCGCAACAATTGAAAATACCATGTATATAGGTAGAGTGAAGACTTGTACAAACCATGTATATAAAACCAGTCATGTTATTACAACCAGCAAACGATTTAATCTCTACCCAGTATATCACTATGTATTCAAAGAATACTTTCACATTATTGACAAATGTGGTATTCATTAGGATGTTTGCCCTTAAGTGAACAGTTAAAGAGATAAAATGGTTTGCAAAATTAGTTTTAAGATTTAGTACAACTGATATTGTGTCTCAGTGTGTAAAATGAGTGTATATAAGTTATAAATTTTATTGAAGATAATCTCACATGTAAAATTAACAATGAAAAATAAATTCTATATTAATTTAACATTACCTAGATTTATAGTTGTAAACATACCCTCATTTTATGAAAAATCAGAAAATAATTTAAAACAGGAATACTACCACAGAACTAAAACTTGATATAATTAATTTACATACAATGATAATTATATTTAATAGGAAGATTCACACCAATAAAAAAATAAATAACATGCACTTTTTTAACACACTTAAATTTTAGGAGAAAATGTCCAGTTATTATTGCAAGAGATTTTAAATTTAATAATGTTAGTCTTCACCAATTTCACTCTTCGATGAGGAAGAACATCACACCAAAAAATATATTAATTTCATGTAATTCTTAAAACAGATGATTAATTTCCTTTCAAGAAATAAAACTGGAAAGATTCATGGAACATCTGTTAAAGTCCAAGCCATTCGTCTTTTGTAAGTGGAAAACCCATTGTAATTTCGAATTTTCCCAATAGCACTGAGAGAAGGTTCAGACGCAGATGTGTATTCACCCACAAACTTTGGTTGATAGAAATCAGATAGTTTAGGCTCCTCATCTTTTGGTAATTTCCAAGTAGTTGTTCGTTCTTCAGCTGCCCCAAGAAGCATCTCCTCATTGACATTCAAGTTTACAAGATCTTTGAATATCTGTTCCTCAGGATAAAAATTGAGTTTGCTTGATGCCTGCAATCAGTAGTATACACATACAAAGACTACTTACGTTTAAACACACACACTATTTACTGCCAATTACACAACTAAAAAAAAAAAATGTTCTCTTCAATATATTTTATAAATCTCACAGACCAACCTTTAGGCACATTTGATAAATTTTAATCTTATATAAAAAAGGGGAGGGGATATTTGAATAGAGCGTTAATCACACTTCTTGTAACAACCAAATGTGCTCATGAATATTCTGAAGTTAAGATAACTAAATAATAATAATAATAATAATAATAATAATAAATAATAATAATAATAATAATAATAATAATAATAATAATAATAATAATAAATAATAATAATAATAATAATAATAATAATAATAATAATAATAATTAATGTTACACAACCGATTTCTAAGAAAATATACTTTTAGTTTCATCTCATTGAATGATTAAATGTAACTCACCTTCCCTTCCATAATGTGTTTTACTGCAGCTGGAATTGGTGCACATTTCATACTTTTGGGTTCTTTTCTTTCTTGAAATTCCTTTGCAATGCATAAAGCACTAAACAATTCAGGCACCGCATATCTAGCTTTATATGCACTTGCTGCATCCAAACTGGATTCAATGCTTTCTGACAACTGAACTTCTTCAGGAATTTTTGAAACCACTTTACTGGAAGGCAACTCCAACTCAGTATGACGAACAAATACTTTTTTTACAGCTGTGCTTTTCTTCAAAGTATTTGACTTTTCTTGAATAATGCACCGAGAAGCATTAGAATTCTCTAATGTTGCTCGCTGTTCATTTTCAGTAGAAGTACTTACTGCAGCATCAACATTTTCATTCGGCAATTCAAATGTAACGCGCTTTGGCGGTGAGCGGGGCTTAGAGCACATTTTGGTCAACTAAATAATACAAATTTAACAGCTTATAAACATTAACATTGATGTCTGCATGAACCTTATAAATAACAGAAACAGAATTCTCGTATTTTTGGCATTTGATACGTATAGTCACCGTGAATCTTCTAAACAGTAAAAGTCGAACTTCAAAGCTTGTTTTACTGCCACAAAAAAGTCGTGTCACAATGTGAAAGTCCACAATGAAACGGCGGACGCTTAAATCCTACGCCAACCAAGAAATGTCAGTCGGCACCACAGAGTAACCAAGATTGGGAGACTTCGAAAAGTAGTTACTCTTTGACAGCCTTCAATTGTCACTCATTATTGTTGATCTAAGAGAAACTTAGTTTTCGTTATAGACGAAGTAGGTGCTCTTGATGCTCTGTGGCTTTCGTTGACAAATAAACATTTTTATAAACTATAGATGCTGCTTGAGCGGTAGTGGAGTAAATATCACAACTGATAATTTTTTCACTTGCTACTTGGTCACGTTTGGTCAACAACTTGTTACACAAAATCTCACCCTTGTAGGCTCCAACCGTTCTACAATAGTACTCTAACCAACTCCTACTAAATACTTGATATTACATACTCTGTTATTGTTTAAAAGTGCTTACTCATTTGTCGCCATTCATATGATCAGTCTGTGTAAAAATTTGTCGGGTCGAATTCATGTACCGTATGAATACAAGTGTTTCTGTCAAAGAGTGCATCTGATTTCTGAAAAGGTTTTCTGTATGAGTGAACCTACTAGCACAGTGTAACAGTCTGTTATACACTTACTTATATATTGTGCATTTACTGTTCATAATTTCAGAAGTCATAACTGGGGAAGTTATTTTTCTAACAGTAATATTTTGTAGTTTTGCCAAATCAGATCTACATTACAAGAATGAGATGAGAAGCAGTGTTCATAATTCAAGCACGTAAAAATACTTTATTTTTATTCTAACTTGATCGAGCCTATTTCTTAATAGACAAATCCACTTGTCTTTTCATATTTGTATTTAATCATAATTGTAAGACAAGCAAACTATTTGTCAAAGTTATGAATGAAAGGTCTTCATGAATAACCAATAAATAATCTTTTGAAATAAAGAAAAGTTTAATTTTTGTTTCAATTGTCTTCAGAATTCTAATTAAAATTGTTTGTATTCTTTAAATTTTGAATAACTGAAGAATTTTGAATTATCTAATATTTAGTAGTAAAAATACTTATCAATTTCGTCAACATCACCATCATCAAGCACACTTTAGTTTCTTTGAACTGTTTTTTATTGTCCCCTCACTGTTATGAAACAATTTATAATTTTCCCATCTTAATTTGACTTTCTCACAGACTACTTATGTAGTAGTGAGAAAGTTATGTAATGCCACAGCAATAATGAATATTTTTTAACACAAAAATTGTATTTTAGATTGTTGATACTGAAAAAGTGGATAATTTTGTTCCTATACATTCTACGTAACTTCCTCTAATACAAGTAATTGAGCAATTTTTTTTGCATTATAGTAATTGTTTTGAGGTTCAAATATCCATTATTAATTTTACAGTTACTAGCTATAAACAGTAATGTTTCACAATAAAGCTACTTTGATGCGTTGCTGTATTCCTTCATCTCTTCCACCTGCACAAACAGTAACAGATTATTTTGTATCTTGCACAGATTTGAGATATGTTCAGGGGTGAATCAATTAGAAATAAATTCAAAACTCAAGTTTGTTTTTTTTTTTCTTTTCCTGCAAATCAGCCATCTTTAGGACCACACGAACATGCATCTATACCTACCACGGCCCAGACATAATTTCTCATGGGTAAGCACACATGACTTGAGGGAAGGAGGGGGATCAGTATTTTCATACTGAATCCATTGTTACACCCCAAGGTTGTTAGCCCTGGCAGGGATGAGGTATGAAATTATGATGGTGATGAAGGATGACTGGACAGTTACAAACATGGACACACACGAACATACATGCCCTGGGCAGGATTCAAACCTGTAACCCTTCAGGTACAAAGCAGCAATAGGCTCTTGACACAGGCCGGCAGATTAATTGAATTTTTTTAAAATTATTATTAGGATAAATTTCAAACATTTATAAAAGGTTTTATTTATATGGATAACAAGGGTATAATTATTAATTAAACCATATTATGCACTTCAAATCCAATACAACATGATACTGTCTTGCAACATAGTGTATAATAATTAAGTCCTGTTTGTTATAAAAATTACATACAATTTTTTTGTCATGCCTTGTGCAATCCTCATAAACTGTGAACTTTGTTAATCATTGCAATTTTAAAACAATATTCAATTTTTTCAATACATATTGTGCTGTTATGCGCAAAAAATTCTTTATAATTTTACCAATTTTATTAAAATCTGTTCAAAAAAATTTGATGAATTTTCAAAATTGGTTTTTATTTGAAAATAAGCATTTTATTACCAGCTTCTTATTCAATTCAGAAGTATTTTCAGATAGTGTCTCTGATGTCAAATGTGAAGATGAAGTCAAACATTTTTTGAAATTCACATTTTCATAAATATTTTATTAATGTAATTTCAAGTTCTGTAAATTTATTTGGTTCACAAATGTTTCATAAATAAGAGTATTTTAATATTTGATATTATATCCTCCAATCCCCAAATCTCCTCTGATTTCTCCATAATTTCTAATGCAGATAATACATGAATAGGCAGTGGGCAAAATCAATCATCTAGAAGCTAAACTAAATGAACCTTTAAAATCAATTAAAAGTTATTTGTTGATAAATGAATTGAAATTAAATGTTGATAGACCTGAATCAATTTCAAGTTTGATCATGTTTAGTAGTAGTAGTACGTCCTTAGGTCAAGCATGACTTCTGGTGATCCTTAATGGATATGCGCAGCAGTTACAGGCTGCCACCTTCTTAAATGTTGCTCCTGGGTTTTCTTCTTGAAGCTACTGTTATTGTGCTCCTCAATCTTTGTCTGTCTTCTGCTAATCTTATGATTTCGGACCATTCACAGTCCAATGTTTTTATTATTTTAATACACCATCTGAATACATGTCTACCACAGCTTCTACTGCCTTCTGTGACCAATAGTATTAAGTGCTTTTCTAGAGATTCCTATGAGTTATCCAAAATATTGCAGTTTGTGTTTTGTTGCTATTGTTTCAATAGAAGGGCCTGGCTTAATTTCCTCCAGAACTGATTTGTTGGTATGCTTTGCCATCCATGGAATCTTTAATAGCCTTCTCTATGTCCACAACTCAAAGGCATCTCGTCTTCTCTTATCTTCTGTGCCTAGCGTTTAGCTCTCTCTGCCGTACATCGCAATCGAGAATACCATGGTTGTGACAATTTGAATTTTGGTGTTTTTCGAGATGTCTTTCATGATTTTTTTCAGTTTTGTCATGGCTACTTTACCTAGCCTTATTCTTTTTTTGGTTTCCTGAGAAGAGTCACATTTTTTGTTAATAAGTGCTCTAAGAAAGTTGAATTCTTCAATAGTTTTCAACATTTGGCCTTGTAGAAAACTTTCTGCTTCCTCTTCAATGCACATGATCTTGGTCACTTTAAATTGAGATAAAGATAGTATTCACTGTTTACTTGACATACTCTGTCCAATCAATTTTGTAAATCTTTTGTTTTAGCCAGTACAGCGGGTCGTCAGTGCATCTGAGGTTGTTAATCTTATGCCCTTCCGTTCTTATTTCTATTTCTAAATTCTCTAGTGGAAGTAGACAATAAACCAGTGAATCAAACTGTTTATCAAAAGTTTTTAGGAATATTCATAAATCAAAACCTAAAGTTAACAAATACATCCACACACTTCGTAATAAAATAAACACAAACACATTCCCCTTGAGATACTTTCCCAGATACCTGCAAACAGTTGCACTTCTTTCAATCTATTATGGCATATTCTATTCACAACTTCAATATGATATTGAAATATAGGAAGGTACAACACCCACAAACGGATAGATAAATGGACCTACAAAAGAAATATCAGAAGCATTTTCAAACCTAATCGGAGACAGTCCTATAAAGATTTCATTATCAAATATGAGTTACTGCTCCTTGTAGCAGTTTTCTCACAAAGTATTTCTTCTTTTGACAAATAATGAGAATCAATCTCTTGTGAGTAATAAAAAGATAGAGTATTATCATACTAGAGGACATAGAGACTATTACAGGATATACACTAGCAAGTGTTCCATTAACAAAGATCCATTCTGCATTGCTGCACAGCTTCTTTCATAATCTCTGTTGCTAGAAAATCAGCTAATAAATACTTCAAAACCTTGCTTAAACATTACCTTTTGCATGCGTCCATATATAATATCTAAATTGCTTTAATTTTTTAAAATTATTAACTACATACCACTGCAAGAGTGACCCCTCTTTGTACCTGTCATTTAGTTCAATAAAGCAATGTAAAATTAGTAATAAAATAAATAATGTAATTATATTTCATGATATTGTAAGCACTGACATTTATTATTAACATTTAATGTATTCAAGTTATTGTAAGTTAATTAAATTACTGTAAGATATTGGAATTACTCACTCTATAAGTTATTTACCACTGTATCATAATCTGCTAGTTTATTAATGTAATGAACTGTTAATATGATTTTTAATTTGTTAATGAGACTTTTGAGTTGTTTAAAATAATGTAAATTATTTTAATGTTTATTGTAAGCACTTTCATGTTTTATTAATCATGTAATTTACCAAGTAAACTATTTGAATCATTACTGTAAGTTGATATAATTGAATTTAAATCAACTAAACGTTTATTGTAATCATTTACATACACTTTTAACAGGTAATTTATGAAGGTAAAATAAATAAATAAATATATATGCTTATTAAATATTTTCTGTAAGTTTTTGTAGTAGTTTGACTTGTAATATCTACCACAACAATTAATCAACTTGGCTGAATGGTTTGTCAGGTTTCATCTTGCAAGATTGTGTCAGCTGTATACCATATTGTATTTTGTTAACTTTGCTATCAGTCATTGTTCCAAATTCCCTACTGTAATTAATTACCCATATTTGTTCTTGGTGCTTTTTATACTGTCATGAGAGATCTGGCCATTTTCAAATCTTTATATAAAATGCTGAACTACCTCAGTTATTTTTTTGTACCATCTTGTTTACATTATTGTTCTTTATTCTATTTTTGGTGAAGCAATGAAAACATTGGTCATTAAACAAAAGCGGAAATGAGAGAAAATGAGGAATCTTTATTCTGATATAATGTTGACATTTTAGTAGCGCTTAAGTAATTCAATGTACTTTTCTTTCAAATGTGTTCATAAATAGGAATACTAATGATAAACTGATACTGTGTGCGTATCGATTATCAACTTGAGGCAAATATACCTGCTGTTACCTGATATTTAAACGTATACTAACACTACATAACATTAATATTAGAATTTACTTAGTACAGAGATTTATATAAAATTATGAAAGAAAAAATTTCAATTCGCAAATAAAACTGCTCTTTTCTTCATTAACTAATTTCACTCTACAATTTAAGGTAGAATCCT